CGTGGCAACTTTTGTATCGACCACAAACTAATTATAGAAGGTCATTAAATCAACCATTAACTACGTGGCTCAAATTGATGGGACTTAGCCTAAAACAATGCCAAAATGCAAAATAAAGGGTCTTAAATTTGGTCATAGATCAACAACCCATGACATGGAATTGATAATAAATCAAATTGATGGGACTTAGCCTAAAACTAATGTTGAATGGAATGCATGTGCCATTGACCAATTCCATGATGGACCTTCTATACTGGAGTACTTTTCTTTTTAATTTATTAATTAAAATGACAAAATCTATGGGCAAAGAATTAAAGTTTAATATTCTACCTCTCCTTTTGTCGTGATGACAAACCTTTTAGCCATTGAAATTTGTGTTCAAATCACGGGAGAGGTATCTATCACGTTTATATAATTATCTTGGTATATCAAGTTTTGTAGTCAGGGTATTCCATAATCCCGACGATTAGAAAGACTCCAATGTGAGAATGGATAACTCATATACAAAAAGAAAAAAAAAAGGTTTAAGATACTGTCAAACGAAATATTTTATGAAGGAATGTGAACCCATTGATCGAATAAGAAACGACTGAAGACAATTCAATACATATATGCAGGAAATGTTTTCAGTAGCTTTCTGAAAGTCTTAGGACCACTGATTATTGAGCCCACCAACTAGTATCTTAGTCAAACCGCTAGCCTTCCATAACGATTCGATCAAACCTTGAATTCTACAGTTAAGTAATTAAGATTTTCGTTGACTCTCTGGAATCAAACAAGTTTAGGTGAGGGCTGTACTGAGTTTGCTTCATTAATTAATCATGAATTATGAGTCATAATCTGCTTCAGTTTCACACAATGTTCACACCTGTTACGATATATTTCCTATCAAATTGTTCATTATAATTTACAGTAGTGGAGAATTAATATTATTAATTTCAAGCTTAATATATTGAGCAGCCCCTAACCCTAATGGCTGTCACCCTCAAACTTAATTTAAGGCCCACCTAGGTTGCAAATTTGGCTCATTGAATTGTCTCCAAAACAAAATCAAAAGCTGTACCCAGCTCGTTATGGCATTAATTTGGCAGGTTTGTCATCTAGAGACAAACATTTATTTGGAACCCCCAACGTATAACAAATTACCAATACGTTTCAATACCCAGCTCGTTATGGCATTAATTTGGCAGGTTTGTCATCTAGAGACAAACATTTATTTGGAACCCCCAACGTATAACAAAATTACCAATACGTTTCAATTTAATTTCTCAGGCCGGCCAACTATTCTAACCCCCAAGTATTTTCCCTATTATTTATTGACTTACTAATCTTAAAACAGTGAAAATATTTCCATTTTTTTCTCAAGAAAACATATATATAAAATTTCCAGGTAACTTACTGCAAGGTTCGTATGTTTGAATCTTGAAAGAGACCTAATTTGTAGAACACATGGGAACAAACATGGCTTCCTCTACAAAGACTTACTAATTTCTCTGTCATTTCGTGGTTCTTAAATTTCATAAAAAAATCTGAGGCGACCCTCTATAAATACGCATCAAATGTATGCAAAGCCATACACAAGTTCATACAAAAGTTTTTGGGGCCACTGTCACAGGAGAGATGGCACTAGCAAGCTAGCTTAGTGTAGTTTATTCATGAGTTATGGCTATTGATTAAGCTAGTAATTGTGACGTCTCTCTGTGACAGTGACCTCAGCAACTTTTGTTCATGGCCCAAAAATTTATCTTTATATCATATAAAGAAGGGCGAAGAAATAGAGAAGAGAGAGCTGAGGGTTGATGAAGAAGCTGGGGGCCTCTAGTCGCAGAGAGATGGCACCAACTGGGTTCGTAACCGTGGTTGGGTTACGAACCCAGTTGGTTACATCCTTCTGCGAGCCGAGACCCTCCAACTTTTGGTGAAAAAAGAAGAAAAATCATTTCTATCACATTTATCAAGGTATTTGTGCATAATTTCTCTTTCAATTTCGGCTATAGCTTTCCTAATTTTCATCAAAGTTATTACACTTTTGATTGTTTTGCAGTTTACTTCTTCATTTTTTTGGGAACATGGAAACCTTCAGTGAACCAAAGAATTAAGATTCCACAAGAGAGTGCAAACCCAGAATCCACAAAACCCTTAACCCTTTTTTAGGACTTAATGCCTATTATTAATTGAACTATATATAAACCCTATCAATAAAAACCTAATATTGCAAGAAGATGATGTAGATTATAAATTAATCTTTTATTTTTCTCCCTTTTCAGCAATATACTATATGATTACTTGGGGTGTAGTTTTAAGTTTCATTTCTTTTGTCCGAATGACATCAAAGGATGATCAAGTTGGATGATTAACGTTTATGGCATAGTTATATAGACAAAAATATTCATCCCAGCTGTTTTTTCGTCGGCAAGTAACTTATATATTTATAAGGACATTGAATATATAAGTCTTGTTTTAAGGTTTGCACGCAAGTGAACCAGTTAATTAATATGAATATGCAGCTTGTCTCTCCTAAGTGGTCTCTACCTTTTTGGTTTAATTATAGGAGTACTACAGCATACCGCTATCCATTCGTTTATTATTGCGTCCTGGGTTAAGATAAGATCCATATACAGATCAATGTCTTCGTTCTACCTATATGAATTAATTATTAAATAGAGAAAATATAATAGATTAAGAACAACGAAAGGGAAATCACTGAAAAAGTCTACTGTCACATTCATATAGGAGCAGTGATTCTACATTTGATCAAATATATAGTCCTGATATCCCTTAAAATAAATCTCTTTCCATGGTTGAAAACAAAGTATTACTAGTTGGAGCGTAAGCATGGCCGCCAAGCTAATAATCAATTTGTTAATTACGTTATGTTTTTATGTCCTGATTACACAGAAGTTTGTTTATTTGATTAATTTATATCAGAAAGGTTAGAGCTGCGAAATCTCACATCTCTTGTCTCCGTATTAATATTAATGGCCATCTTGTGGAAGATTCTTCAGTCATTTCTGTGAGTTTCTGTAAAAACCTCTTGAATGATGCCAATTCAACTTAAGATTCTAATGTTTTGTTTTGTTCTCATTATTCCACATTTGGTTTCAGACATAGAAAACACTTGCCTCACAGCCATTCTCACAGTTGATGAGATTAAATCTACGATGTTTAATATGGATCCTCATAGTGCTCTTGGTCTAGATGGTTTTCCTGGACTGTTTTTTATATCCTTCCGGGATATTGTTGGTCAAGATATAGTCGGTTGTGTTCGACAATTCTTTGTGGATTCTTGGTTACATCCTGAGCTAATTCGAATTTGACCACTCTAATTCCAAGAAGTCATGATGCAGATAAGTACTGTTTCTCAGTATTGGCCTATTTTGCTCTTGCTAATTTTATCTTTAAAGTTGATTCTAACTAGAGTTCGCTTTTGTGAGATGAAGCATGTATACCACAACTGCACAATATCAGTTCAATTAATATATAACTTAAGTTATCGTTTTCGAAAGTGATAATTTGATCATTAACTACATAAATAATTATAGCCAAATAGGATTTAATAAACAATGTATGATGTATCTGACCCCTGAAGGAATTAATAACAGCAGCATAGATGTTTAATATTGTTTTAATTAACTAATTCCTCAGAAGGTTTCTGTTGTCGTTTGTTAATCAATTCATAACTCAAAAGGAGCCGATTGTCGAGAATTCAATCATATCTAGCCTTAAATTTCCATCTTTTTTTTGGCAAGAAGTTTAATAATAATGAACGGTTTTGGTTTGCTTTACAAAACAAACTACACTGATGAATTGTCAGGTTCAGCAGAAATTTCAGCTGAAACTTCAGAGAGAAATTAAAGCATCTCATCTTGACTAATTAAAACCTGAGGTGAAAAAAGAAGGAAAGATAGAGAAAAAAAAACCTTTTTGAAAGAGAAGAAATTTGGAGGAAATTCCTACGAAGATGGATGGAAGATTACTTTCATGGTAGCCATGGCCAGCAGGACAAGCAAGAATTAACTGATAAGACATCACATCTTCAATGTTTGTTTTGGTTAATTAGAACAGGTTCAAGAATAATAATTCACCCAATCAATCAGATCAACTATTTTAACTCAATTTTCACATGCTTATTATTAGGAATGGTTAAATTCTACTTAGCAAAAGTTAATCATTCATACATCTTAATTTCCCCAGTTCAATGAACTGTCTGGCATCCAACTAACTTTTCAGTTGAATAATATGCCATGAACACAACATATATTTGAGCAAATAATGTTATATATGTATACGATACCAAATTTTGATTTTGATTTTGATTTNAAAAAAAAAAAAAAAAAAAAAAAAAAAAAGAAGCGCCAGTAGCTTCATCGATATTACCTACAAAATAACTGTTCCAGAAGACCATCTAAATCTCTGGACAGGATCAATTTAAACCCTATAATTGTTTCTGCTAGACCAACATATTTCCCCGGACAACCAGTAAATCCTTTGGCTACGAAAAGGGGTTGGGATAAGAAACACTTATTTTTTTGTGTGAGTGCACTACTAGGAGTTCAGCTTCAATCAATTAGCTAGGACAGTAGCAAAGAGCTGCTTCTTTGAATAACTAAATGGATACTACTGTCAATCAACAATTTCCCATATCATATCATGGAAAGAAATAGGGTTGGGAACCATCAATTGCAACATCTAATTCAACTGACTAATCCCAGGGAGAAAAAGGGGGCACACCCGGAAAAGGCGCAGGCAAGCGGTCAAGAGAAGAAAAAGAGAGGGGCAATCGGACTCAATGCTTCCTCCTCGAAAATATGAATCATAACAGGCACAACTTAAAACTAGTGACCCACATAATTCACTTCCACCATTTTTCATAAACATTGAAATTTAAATTTCAAACTGCTGACGCAACGCAAACATATATTCATACATATACATTGCACTTGTCATTCTCCATGCAATAGTACTAAACAATCATAACAATTTTCTTCATTGACGATTACTTAATCTTTCAATAAAATGCTGTTTGATATATACCAAAAAGTAGTCACAATACTAACCTCAAGGACTGGTAGGTGCGGAAAACCCTTTAGAGTTGATATTTTGTTTTTGCTCGCAGCTAACACCTGTAAAAGGTAAAGAAGAAGAAGAAAAGTAAAATACATAGTTCGATTAATCATGAACTGATGGAGCAGAAAGTGACATGCAATTAAACCAAGAACAAACCTGCAGCCGAGGCTGACTTGCCATGGAAAGAGACTTTAACTTATTCTGAGCAACAGAGAGAAACTAGAAAGAAGAAAGATGCACACAGTATAAATTTAAAATAAATGAGTAATAATTACTATAAATACAAGCTTAAAAACCAAGACAAATCTGTTTCTTAAAATAATAGAAAGATCGAGCCAATCATGAACTGAGATAACTGATGGCAAAGCTGACAACTACTTTCAAGGCTTACCTCCAAGTTAGGGAGCTGCGGAAGGCTTCCAAGTGATGTGATTTGATTCCCAGCAAGATAAAGTTGCTGAAAAAATGATAAACATTCGAGAACATATTTCAAGGATAAATTCAACATTCTCTTAGAGATGGTTAATGACAAATGACTACACAAACCTGTAGGGCTTTGCAATTCTCAAGAGGTTCAAATTCTGGCCCTTTAAAGTCATTGAAACTCAAATCAAGAACCTGAAAAGAAAACAATGCAATCAAGCAGTTAACAAGGCATTTATTGAAAAATCTACGAGCACAAAGAATATGTCAACTGTTTATCTTCAGGAAGAAAAAGTATTTTCAGTTAATAGAATGTTTGACTTTTTGATGCCAACAAAAGAGTACAAGAAAAGGACTACAAAGATGATGAAAAATGAAAGGCTGTACGTAAAGGAACAACAAACCTTAACCCGCTTCAGTATCTCAATGCCTTCCAATGTTGATAAGAGATTGTCTCTGAGATAAACAAACTGCCAAAAGAGCAGGATAAGGCAAAGGTACTATGGTAATAATTATCAAGATAAAATTTAAGATAAACATGATAACAAAGACACTCTGGATGAGGAATCATTAGATTCCCATAGAATCTCTACTCAAGCAAAGGGCAATAGATTGATTTTCAAATATGTTGGTCTTTGCCAAGACTAACCATCCTCCTAAAGAAGCGCATTACCTCAACTTCTCCACCAAATTATAATGAAAATAAATGCATAGAAAGAATAAACTGAAGTGGAAAACAAAGAAGAAAAACACTTCCATAAGGCAAGATAAAAGTTATCTGAAAATAACTAGCGTCCAGCCCAGTTTTTTCAACTAAATAAAGGCTCCACCCTCATTCTCTTTCTCTTCATAGAAAAGTTAACTACTTTTCCTTATCAAGAAAACTAAAAATTTATATAGCTCTTGCAGGATAAGTATCTTTTTCATCAAAATTTACACATTACTATAAAAGACACCTGTTGCATTTACATGTTCATTCTTTATACTATCAAACCAAATTTTACAAAAATTAAGAAAAATAACAGAATTAGCCAACAGATCCTTATCCATCACAAAAAGTTGAAGCTAAGTTAACAAAGCAACTCCAATTTAATATCCGATTGTACTGATCAAACAATTACTCACCACTAAGACATATCAAGTGTTGAAAAACTAAGTAATCTAGCATAGAAGCTAAGTATACAAATCCCTATTGCTCTCAAGTATAGGTGTAGCATCAATTGCACCCAATAAAATTTAGACAACTGATCAAAAAGCTAATGAATAAAGTTGTTCCATAAGGAGTTACAGCCACAATCATAAGAGGGCATTTAAAAAATGAATAGAAAAAGCTTTCTTAATTGAATGCTTATAAGCATTAGTACATCCACAATATGATAGTTTACCTCTAGATTTGGTTGCAAGTTCAGCCCACTAGCAGTAAGACTGCGAACTCTATGACCTCTAAGATCCAATCTCTGACATGATAAGAAACAGTGATAAGTTAGAACAGAGGGCACAGCAAAAAAAAAAAAATACAATATTACATGAAACTTATCTCCAAAACAATAAGCAAATATAAAATGAAGGTGGTCATACTACATTGAAAGAGGAATCACACTTACAATCAAATCCATCATGTTTAACATTACATTCTAGTCTACATATTGTTAATTTTACGGAGAAAAAAAAAATTCTTGACACCACGGCCATTCTCACTCTTATGCTCCTTGAGAGTTTAAAAAAAAAAAAAAAAAACAAAAACAAAAAAAACTACTCAGGCTATTATCTAATAACTTGATACCGTAGCCATCCTTCACCCTTGTGCTCCTAGAGATTTATACGAAAACTTACACAGGCTATTATCTAAATCTGTTTCAACAAGTTTAAATGTTTTTGCATGCTGCTCTACTGAACCACTCTTAAGCAATCGAATGACATTACAACAGACCATCTCATGATTATTAAAGTTATACCATTAGCTAAACACAAAGAACGTGCACATAAAGAACATAAATTTGAACTCTCTCTTCTTGAGGAGATGAGAGACAGTAGTAAGGTTGCTTCAATTGTAAGCCAATACAGAAAACTACTAAGTAAGAGCCCCCTTTCAGGAAAGGCTAGTGTAAAGCTAAGGAAACCAGGGAACATTCAGTTATTTACATAAACTTGTATTTTTCTGTACTAAATTAAAAGCTCCATTAAAAGGAAATTCCATAAGATCAAGTAAAACTTGATGAATACTGAATCTTAGGAGATTTTGGGCAGAAAGACCCATTAAAAGAAGGCAAGCAATAGCAAAGGATTAAGGATTTTTACTCTCCAACATTTAACAACCATCTATTAGCATATCTGGTCCATTTGCACACCACATTACCAAAGCTAATAATAACTAACAAAAAGTTCTGCTTTGTGCTACATATTCTTCTGCATTTTATCCACTAAAAGTTACTGTCAAGAAAATATAAGAAAGTACAAGTTATACCAAAACTAAAGAACTATAAGCATAACTAAGAAAAACATAGCAACATTATGCCCCATTAAGCATGTGAACGGATTCAGAACATCAAGAGGGTAAAATACAATACAATTATGGACAATAAATGTTTGAAGGCAATGATTTGCTTCTCCTTCAATGTTGAAAATTGCATAAAAAAGTCATGTAGAAGCAGAAACATTACAAGGTCAACCAAATTATTAGCCAACAAAATTTTAACTTACACAAGTATATTTCACAAGCATTTACCGGAAACTGAATTAATTAATCTCAAGAAGGGTAAATCCAAATTGATCTCCAGAAGCTACTGTATAGCACCATATAAATTTTAAGGGTTGCTAACTTAGTGCTTACCACATCATCTCCAGCTTTGATCTCCACCTGTGGAAGAACAATGAATCGAGAATCCTTGCTTTCTGGTGTCCCAGCTCTTCTCCGTCCGGATAAATTGGAACTCCTATCCAAAGATGATGACAAGGACCCAGTTCTCAATCCACTAGAAATTGAAGGTGAACGAGCTGACGGAGAAGAAACCTTTGAAATTTTCTTCCTACTCACACTGCTGCTGCTACTGTCCACTGAAGCTGAAGAAACCCTTCGTGAGGAAGAGGAAACTGACAATGCCGGCTTAATCGAAGCCTTCTTGACAGTCCCTTGCTTAGCCTCAGACTCTGTTGATTTGCTCAAACTTCGACCCACTGGTGAAACTGGAACTGACTTCCTTGCCTCAGAACTACTGACTCGACTACTTGTGGGTTTTGTAACATCTGAAGGCAATGAACTTCTTCTAAGTTCAGGGAGAGACCTCCTAACAGATTCCGAAGGTGAAGAAGTGGTCTTTTTCCCGACAGTCGAACCAACACTTGTTTGCTTTGCTGTAGAGTTCAATGACTTCTCAGGCACTCCACCAGTACTGTTTCGTCTAACCACCGGAACTGCATTCGAAGTTTTCAAAGAAGCACTTACAGTAGGTTTGGTCAGCCTAGAACTTGATTCAGATCCACTTTTAAGGTCTGTTTTCTTTCTACTACTAGAACTAGTTGGTGCTGCGACTCTTGATGTTACTGCACCACTAGGCTTCCCAAGTTTTGGAACCTTTTTCACACTCTCAACTGAACTTACAGAGGACTGTTTTTCTTCACTTTGCAGCTTTTTCAAAGGATCTTCGCCTGGTTGCACTAATGGGCCCTCCATTTTAAGACCAAAATGCACTAACCCACCACAAAGGAACAATAATCAACAAACAGAACTAAAACTTTCTTCAAATATTGTTAGTGTGTTTTACAATGAAGACACCAAAAATCAAGTAAATAACCTACACACTGAACCTCAGAAACCAGGCTTCAAAACATAAAAATAAAAATTTAAACTTTCACTTGATTTTTTTCGAATTTTTCCAACAATGAAACGGAAGGTAATACGAAAAATTTTGTTGCCGACAGCTTGCGTGAAAAAAAAAAATACATAATTGCATCGGTATAATTTTCACAGAACACACGCTTCGGTTTCAGTTCAGGTGTCGTTTTCGCCCCTAACAAATCAAATAATAAAGCGATAAACCACAATACAAAATTTTTCACTTTTCCCAACTACCAGACGCACACTCAGCAATGCAGCTCAAACTACACTTAACCACCAAACAAACACACAAAATAAAAAATAAAAAAAATAATAAAAAAAAAAGAAGCTTCTTACAACTTGAAGAAGAAGATTCAGCAAGCTCTGAAAACAGTGCCACGCATTCTCGAACCGATCTAGCAGAAAATGCAGGTTCTTTAGCTAAAATTAAAGCGCATTTCTTCGATCCAACCAAAACAGTGAAAAGAAAACAACAATGCGAAACGAACTAGAGAGAGAAGGCGAAAGTACCTGAAACGAGGAGTGGTGAAACGGTTAGATCTACCTCGTCGTATTTAAGTAGTGAATAAGTGAATTAACTGAAAGTGAAAGTGAAAAACCGGCAACGGTTTCCGGTGGGGTTTTTGCTTTTCGGCAGCGAAAGCAAGGGAGGAAATGGTGTGGCGTGGCAACACAAAAAGCAAAAACAAAAAAGAAATGGAGTGAGTGAGGGAGTGAGAAAGAGAGTGAAGAAGAAAAAGAAAAGGTTGAAAAAGTACAGAGAGGGAGAGAGGCTTGTTTGTTTCTGAAAAGAAAAAGTCTTTTGGATGACGAATGAGGGAGAGATATTGGATTAAAGTAATTGAATATTATTTTTGGTGCGCAAAATTTCGAAATGGCGGAAACTTACAAGTGTGGAGCCAAAGCCAATTTGATTTGATGTTTATGTGTAAATTACTGTCGTTTTAATGAGTTACCCCTGTGGTTTGTAAAATTAATTCAGTCCCTGTATTATCCAAAATCATTCAACTATCTCCCCTGTCGTTGGTTTTTTCCGTTAACACTAACTTTGATCATTAAATAATAGTGTTGTCTTTAAAAATGAGTTTTTTTTTTTAATTTAAAAGAAAATCCTAAAATTTTTGAAATAAATCTTAAAAATGCTATAAAATATTTGAATTATATTAAAGTCATTAAAAATTTTAAAGAAGCACAAATCATAAAAAAATTGAAAAAAAATTAAAAATATACACTTTAAAAGAATTTCTAAAATTTATAATTTTTTTTAGGTTTTTTTAATTGTTTTAAAATTATTATATTTTAGGTCACTTTATTGAATTTATTATGTTAAGTGATCTTTAAAAAAAAAACTTAAAATAATTTTTTAATTTAGTAGTAACCTATTTTTAGGGGTTTGGTTATTCACAAGTCAAAATCGGTGAAAAGTTAGTTTCGTCGGAAAACTAACGGAAGGGGAGGTAGTTGGATAATTCGAATAACATAGGGACTACCAATATTTTGCAAACCAGAGGGGTACTTGTTTTAGTTCAGTCTCTCTAAATATCTCATGAGTTAACTCGGCCTCGTTCGCCAACTAAACTCACCCCTTAACTATTAGCTTTATAACGAATTTACGAAAAGAGCCTTTTTTTTTTTTATAGAGTTGAAAGGATATCAAGTTTTAATATTTGATTAAAATATAATTTAATAATTTAAATATAGGCGTTATAAATATCTAATTTATAATGTTGATCCAAGAAATGGATTCACATTTCATTATTTGTAAAGAATTTATGTTATATCATGAATTAATAATAATTTTTCACTTTCGGTATGGTTGTATTAAAAAAAAATTATTGATATTTCTAGAATAACATTAAAGGGTGTATGTTTAACTCTAAATTAATTATAATAGAGATCCAACTTTAGTTCTAATTGATATGGTTATGGCTGTGATGTGTAATATCACATTAATGGTGAAAAAAATAACATTATTTATCACAACATCTTATAACTAATATCATTGGTTCTATAAAGTATGTTAAAATTATGATCATCAACCTATAATCATGTTTGTTATTAATTTTAACTATGTTGGTTATTAATATTATCAAAAACGAAATAATACGTATATAATATATATTGATTGGTTATTTGTCAATGTGTTAACGGATTTTTCCTTTAGCCCTCATATATATAATTTTTTTTAAAAAAATTGAAGTTATTATATTACTTTAAGCCCTCAATATTTTATATAATTCAAAATACCCAGTCAAATAATTAAACACAAAAATATATTAAATTAAATTTTACCCAATTCAATAATATTTAAGCCAAAAAACGAACTTAATGAAATTTTAAATTATAAATAAGGCCCATCATATACAAATTCAATAATTCAAAAACTAAGTCAAAAAAACAAACCTAACGAAATTTTATATTATAAATAAATAAAATACATTAATCAATTTAAATTTTATGTTTTATTTTACATGGATTTCTTTCTTTATTTAATATTTCAACACACATTTTTCCTTATTAAATATGGCCATCGAGTTAAGATATTGTTTGCTTGACTAAAAATATGGCCCTCGAGTTAAGCGATAACATACGTCGCTTAAGCGACCAAGCAAATTTCCTTTTGTACTTAAAATAATTCATTCTCAAATATAGGCTCGCTTAAGTGATGTCTTATCTCGCTTAAGCGATCTAGTATACATAAGTCGTGATCGCTTAAACGATATCCCACGTCGTTTAAGCAATCAAGGCTAATTTCATTTGTACTCTACAACAATCATTCTCAAATTCAATGGTAGAGATTTGAGTAGAAGAGAACTAGATAACTATGCAAACTTAGTGAACATATCTTCTTCTTCTTTCTTCAGAACATAAAGATGTTAAGAGTTCGAGAAAAGAAAATGGCTTTAGAGTTGAGATATGGACGAAGAAGAAGGCAGTGGAATTTCTAGAGCATTGATAAATATTACACTCTTTCGAGATTCTTCTCAGTGCGATTTTAAAAAAAGTTGTTATTTTAAGGAGTAAACGAAGTTTGAATGACTAGTCAAAAGATTGTTTGTGCAGATGGTTTTACAGAGTTATAGCTCCGTACATAAAACTAAATGATCTACCGTTATTCTATTACTATTGTTAGTCCTTTTTTATTTAATATTTAATATTATTAATAATTTTTTTCATTTTAATAGAATGTGAAAATAACACTTCGGTCTTTGTTAGTCAACACCGTACATAAAACTGAATGATCTATTGTTATTCTATTATTTTTGTTAGTTCTTGGCAGGAAAATAATATATAAATAAATATAATATTTATATAAAATTGAACTCTGCAACCATCTGCTCTGCGCTCTGTAGACCGAGAGAGTGCCTGAGTAATGTAGTAACCTTGGGCTTGGTGTTGCTTTTTATAGCTCACTCGTGACTAATTCAGTAAATTGATTTATTTGACACGACAATTATTTTGATAATATTTAAAATAGATGAAAGTTAAAAATAATTAATTTTATTTAATATGATATAAATGATGATTTATTCAAGCTTCTCAAAACACAAATGTAATGTCATCACACATTTACATGATATAGTTGTTGTGCTGAAAAATTTATTATGATGGCAGGAGCCGTATGTTTTAAAAAATTTATTTAAAACATACTTCACGATTATATCACTAACTCAGCAACTCAACCCACCTCTTCTAATGATTTCACCAATCAACTCATCAAAACTAACTTCTGTACTCACCGCAATTGGTTTAACTTGTTTGCTCTTCCCAATCCACTTCTAGCAACTTTCTTCATCTACCCACTCACCAAAATATTTAACACCCAAAACAACTTGTCTCATGGCTAATAATAGCCGAGTATCTATAATGCAAGAAAACAAAAATTATTAATTGATATATTAAGGGTTGATATATTTTAAAAAACATCTACAGAGTCGCTTAAGCAATGTGGTGTATCGCTTGAGTGATATGCTATATCACTTACTAGATCGCTTAAGCGATCTAGTATATCGCTTAAGAGATCTAGTATATCGCTTAAGAGATCTGGTATAAATAAGCCTAATCGCTTAAGTGATCTTATGCCATATACCTGATCGCTTAAACGATCTTCGATCTGCTGCATTATACGACATACCAAATCGCTTAAGTGATACACCAGATCGCTTAAGCGATCCATCAGATCCAAAACACATTTTCAGTCATCTCCACCTGCAATCGGTGCTATCACCCCCAACTACCCACAATGCAAGAAATATTCAACAAATTTCGCTCCATTCAACTTGCATTACATCAAACACAACCCAATAACTTAAACAACTAAATCAAAATCATAACCCAAACCTAATCCATCATTAAATTTTTGTAAATCGAAATGAAAAATGGAAAGGGGAGATACACATACCTGGACGAAATGTTAGGAGGAGGAGGAGGCGGATCTGTGGCAGAGAAGATATTAATGGCTGAGAAAGAAGATATCGTTAATGGTGGGAAGAAGAAGATGTACACGAAGGAGGAAGAAGAAGATATAGAGGAAGAAGAAGATGTAGACGAAGCTTAGAATAAACAGCAACCAGAGGAGGGATTCGTTAATGGCGGGAGGTAGAAGAAGAAGATGTTATGTTTGGGTTTGTTTGCAATAATTTCAGGTTTTTAGGGACATTATAATTTATAAAAGATTACACAATACTTCATTAATCCTAATTAAACCATGATTAGTGTTTAATTGTTATTAGTTTGTCTTAATAAAAAATAAGGCCATTTAGTTAAGACTAAAAAACTACATGGCCTTTTAATTAAATTCAAGGCCAATATGGCCTTTTAATCATTTGCCCCAAATATTTATGTATAAGTATGGTTTTATGAAAACTCTTAAGGTTTCCACATAATAGCAAATTTGCCATCGTTTAACTCTATATGATTTTTTTGCTAATTATTAAAAATTATTAGCAACAGTTTCCACTGTTTAAGGACATAATAATAGATGCCACATTTAGAGATAGAAATTTCCACCTCTCAACTTTCAAAGATATTATGAAAGGATCTTTGTTTACAACTACTTTCTTAATGGATCAAAAGCCTGACTTTTGTTTTTTGCTAATGTAGCAAGATTTATTACCGATTAATTGACTATGCAGGATGTATGGTACACCAAGTCCATAAAAAATTACTTTTAACATATTTAATGATTTAATTTTTTTTTTCCATTAATCTTGTTAAAAAAAAAAATGGAACCAAAAAGTTAGAGAAGAAAAAAATGAAGATACTATGACATTATGGTACCAAGAAAGATTCTTTCTATAAATTATAATGTGCTATGAGTTGTCCATTTGGAATTTCAGAATAAAAAATCCAAATTCAGAATTGCAAAAGTACTTTTAGTTTATCGCGGAAACTATTATTCGAATATCCAAACCAAAAGTGATCGTTTGTATCATAAATTTTTCTATATTATTTCTTTATTCCTTCTACAAGAAAGGATTCACAATCCTTAGAATAAGCATCTTGAATGTTCTTATCCAAGAGGATAAATTGAGTTCTCAAAAAATGATCCGTCACATATAAGCATCGACAAGGTTATCTACTGGAAGAATTTTCGACATCTCAAGTCAAGTCGCTAAAATGGCTTAAAGTACTGAGTAAACAAGACTCGAACCAAGCTAATCAACATATTAATTCTTTGTTAATCACACTGACTAAATACTATACAATCAAATTGTACTACTAG